GAATCCATCTAAATCATACGTGAAAATAGTAAGTTCTTGTATCAGGGTGGGGGATAACGGTGGCCTGCCAGATCATCAAACGGGGTAATGAAGTACCCGAACATGAGAACCACTGCTCTAAACCAGTAACTATTGCTCGTTCATTATTTCTTGCATGTGTTCAGAATACTTGAGTCCTTATCTGGCATGATTAGGTGACAGTTCGTTGAAAATTAGCTCTTTGTTAGGTTGAAAGCTATATTCGTTTGACTTGTAGTTCATGAATTGAGTGCGCAGATACGCGACAAATAGATAAGGAATTCGTTTCATGACACCAGGAAAACTTGTCACTGAATACACGTATTATGACTCGAAATGAAGTGCCATTTGAATAATCAACGGTAAGCTTCCATCGAGTGCATTTGACTCAAGCGCTTCAGAAGCGATTAAGCAGTGGAGTATCTCAGTGCTATGCTTATGAATAGTCGGTGAATTGCTCTTTTACAGAGCTTAATTAGCTAAATAATTAGCTCAATTAGCTTAATTTGAAGATATTCAATTGTATCTGAGATGTATATTTTGAATGATATTCTCATGGGTGCAACTTCGGTGTAATGAGATTGTTATCGTTACACAGATTACTACATTTTGTAGCTGATACATTTTTTAAATCAATCGTCAGTCACATTTGCAATCATTAAAAGACATGATGGTTTGAAGCGGATTTGTAGCACGTTCTAGTTGAACGAGTACGTAGCATCAAAATACACAGAATCATTCAGTTGCGAGCATTTTAATGCCTCATTTCACTTCAGTTTCATCTTGGAACATTTTTCAAATGAATTTCGTTTTTGTGCTTTTCGCTCTAATGGTTACTGTGTCACTTTTTAGATATAGCAATATCGCGACGAGATAGCCTGATTAATGAAAGTGTATGAATTAAACCAGAGAACAGAGACCTCAATCATCTGTAGTGCCTGCAGCTGCAACTCAACATTTTTTCGCATCATCATCGGCACAAAAACGTTGAAGTCTTGTGCGGCTACCACAGGTTCCAGTAACATCTGTAATTGCATTCAAAGTCACAACGTTTGAAGTGGAATTTATCTTGTCATTAGGATGTTGATAGCTTGTAATGTTTAGTGGCAATTCTATGTCTTTCATCAAATCATTAAATGAACAAATAGGATCAAAATAACTGGCTTCCTACTATTGCTAGCTTTCGAATTGCTTAAGAACTAATACACCTGAGAGTTCCTAAGTGTTATCATAAACAAGGTCAGATCAGAGCGCAACGAACTATGAAATAACCCAGAGCACTTTGCAAAACATCAATGATATCTTCATAGCGAACACAGATGTGCATCTTCATGAACTAACTCGTTGCTGAAGTGACATTCGAGCGCTGTTATCTTGCTGCTTCAAAGCGTTGACCAGTTGATCAGCTTCGATATGAAGATCATCGCAGAAGCATTCAATCAACGTGTCGACCATCGACGAGAATTCGTCATGAATACCTTTGTATAACGTTGAATCACCTTGATCACGCTCAAACGCTGAAACCTGATTGCAACTTGAAACACAATGAACAACCTAGAAACCATCAAAACACTGTCGTCAGTTACCTGAGGAACATTTGGAACTAGATCAAACAAACGATCTTCAGCTAATCATAGCGATGAAATTTTCCAATTTTGTAAA